CCTTAATCTTTATTTCAGAATACAATGAAATGCAAAATAGGACTTAAATTGATGTCTAGTGAAAGCAGTTTCCTTAAATGTTGCTTCAAATGTCCATAGTACAGTGGTGTACACTGACTTCACATGAATGAAGTGTGTTACATCAGAATAATCACTATGTGTCAGGTTTTTATTGTGTATTGATTGATTGATTGACTAATTTATTTGAGGGGCTGCTAAGGCCTCACAATACCATGATCCGACCACTTGCTCCCACCCAATACAGGCCTGATAACCACTAGAGGGCCCAGCTGTTGAGAAACTATATTACATGACTCATGAAGAGTCCAACCGGAGCCTGGAGTGAAAAATGTATACTGAAACCCAAAGTTTCTCATAAAATAATCAATGATGGAGTTTGTTTGTTTTAACAAGATCCTTTTATATTTAAATATTGTTTGGAGTTTTTTAGGTTATAAGAGTTTTGATGAATAATTTGCATTGCAAAGCATCTGTGAAATAAAATTATAAACAAAGTGTACATTAGAGAGGAGAAGAGATGGATGATGAGACTGAGGAAATGTGAGACGACTTTAAGAATAACATCACTGGAGAATCAACAAAGTGTTGACCTATTTTTAATTTGTATTTTCTGTTATAAGCAGTGTTTTTACTCGCTTTTAGTTTTTTTCAAGACACGACAATCCACATTTCTGTATTCCTGCGAGTGTTGTTGACGTGTAGATCCTCACGTTAAGTAAAACAGTACAAGTCACACGTTTTACAGGTAGGTTAAAACAGTCTGGGAGAGGATGTTCCAAAACAATCCTACAGTGAACTGGTGGGCATTTCACAAAGCAGGATTTTCTCAGTAAGCTGGTTAAGTTAAGCCAAAAGTTGAGGTCCAATAGGAATCTTCTGCTAATGTACAGGTTTGTCTTTTGGCTTATGTTTTCAGGTGTTACGTCCAACGACATATTGTTTAAATGCTTTTTTTTCTCTCTTCTCTTATGTGTAAGCTCCCGCTTTCTTCAGCTTCTTGCTCTCCTGTCTATAATAACCTTCAGGTGTTGCTGCTGATGGCAGTGCAATGGCATGCACTGATTGGCTGTACTGAGATAAGGGCAAGAGCTTATAAGCCTGGTGAACAGCTTCCTTGAGGCTCCTCCTTCTTCCCTTCATGTAGCTGCAGTTTGAGTGTGATTGTTCTGGCGAGTTGGTCATGGGAAGTTGTGGGAGACGCTTTCATGTTGCGGCCTACCCTAGACCGGTCATGACATCAGGTTACCAAGAAATCCTGCTTTGTGAAAAACACCTCTGAGCTATTTACATGCTGACACACACCACTGACCATCAATGGTGACCCACCACAAAGAAGAGTGAAAGATAAGCAGCAAGTGTCCTCAAAAGAGCTCAACCCTATACTAATACCTCTCTTAGCAACAGCATGTAATTTATATTAGAGGCATTTACATTTATACACAAGTGACTTGGGTCCTAAAACAGTCTGAAAACAGCAGATAACAGCAGTGAGGTCTTTAGCTGTAACCAGTCCATGTTGAGTCAATTTCCATGTACACAGCCATGACGAGCTGAACGTTAAAGACTGTCCTGTAGTTTCAGTAGATCTTCTTATAAGACGCGACCAATAAAGCCACTTGTGTATGAACTGATCACACAGAGCTCTGTTGTGAGGTAGAAGAAGTGAAGGTGTCTGAGGGTCTTTCATTTCAGACTGATTCCCCTCATTACTGCACCAGCCATAAACAACAACAAATGTGATAAACTACTGCAGATTCTGAACATCTACAGTCTATCAGAATCTGCATGCCCTTATTCTATATTGCTTCATCTACATCTTATACAATAAGTTACACATGAATGATTTGTTTTTATATCATAAATACAGACACCAGTCCGGTCCTGATGTGTACACATTTTAAAATAGCTTTCAGGATAATGATAAATAAGTGAATACTGTAAACAAGACCTGAGGAGTTTGAGGAAGCATCTCATCAGAGAGGCTGTTACAGCTTGATATCCATCGGTTTGATATGATGAAGAATCACAAAGGTGACTAATCAGTATAAAAAAGCACAATTTAACAATTTTCTTTAAAATACAAAATGGACTGGGGTCAGTCTATTATGCTTTGGGGTTGTGTGGCAGCCAATGGCACAAGAATAAGAGTTATAAAAAGCAGTCATTTACTGCTAATTATTATATTAATAGCAAATATTATCTTCACCCTCTGCTGCATGAATCATTAATTAAACATGATAAATATTTCTAAAAATTTAGTGGATTACTTGGTAAATTGTTGCCATTTGGCAACAATGTGAAATCATACCATAAAATCTAAAAAAAAGCACCAAAAAATTAAATTTCTCTAAAAGCATCCTTTTATCCTTTTATTGAAAAAAAGAACAAACAAATCCAACTTATACTTACTGAAATTTATGACCCAATATTTACAAATACTGGAAATTAATACAATTTCAGTTGGTATTTGGAATGTATGGTAATAACAACATCATAATAAGAATTCCTGGTCATGTGATGTCATGAAGTATTTGTTCTTTCAAAGTAAAAGACCCTTTTCCACAATTAAATAAGAAAACACAGATTTTATATTACTGCTTTTTAGTAAAATTAGGATAAAGTACGTGTGTAGTGAGGGTTAATCCATACCTGTACCTTGTCAAGCATAAACAAAGTCAGATCAGTTGTAGTAATATCATATATAAATGACCTATAAATGAAGTGTGAACTAAATGAACAGGTTGTTTCAGTAAATGGAGAGAACTGGACTTTAAAAGGGTTTGTTTGAATGGGTTACATGGTTGGTGTAGTATAGTGGCTAATACTGCCCTCCACTGAGCAGCCTGGGTTCAATCTCCTGCTTGGCCAAGCACATCACACTACATCAGTTAAAAGTCATTGGGGGGAGATGCTACATTCATCTACCTCTGTTACATGTTTAAAACTGTAGGCGGCTTCAGAAAAGAGCGTCAGCTAAATGCAGGTTTCTTACACAAACACACCTGCTGACCATCCTGTCAGTCAGAATTTGAACAAGCCTATAATATCAGCAAAGGTCAGGCAGAGCCCACTGTATATACAGGTGAACCCTCGAAGTCACCGGGTAGTGGAATGTAGTTGCAGGCTGAAGATGTGACGACTCTGGACGATTCTTTGCAATCAGTAAGATTTATTTACACGGTGAAACACACAAAAGAAAAACTGTACAAACACAAAGTAAATGGAGGTTAAAATGTTGACCTGACTCGATCAGTACAGGTAAGTATAAGTAGTCTTAGGCCGCAAGGCCACAGGACTATACTCTTTCTAGCTTGGCTCTTACTCCCTTCTCCTCAGTCTCCTCGCAGTCTGAGGTGAGTAACCTCGAGCTAACCCCTTACTAAACCTTTCCCCTACCTCTTATAGGGTTAGCCCCACCCCTGCATCACCTGAGCTGAAGCAAGAGTGGTTAAAAACAAGGGTAAATAAAATAATACTTTCACATCACAAGGCCCTAATGTATAACATTACCGGTAAGATATTTCATATGGTGCGCACATTTACTAGCCTGTCTCACTCTGTCTTCTGTGCCCTAGGTAGAGACATCACCCCTCTCATGAGCTAGCCGTGGGCCCTCCGGCACGCTCATGAGTGAGCTCCGTCTGCTCTGCCTCCCATTTGCTGCTGGTGTTAGGAAACAGACAACAGGTGAGTATTACAGGTAGGCGTTCAGGTAAGTATTACAAACACACACACACACACACACACACAGCCCTTGGTGATGGGTAACACATTTGCCTCATCACACAGTGATGTCTCAGCTTCTTGGATTGTGAAGAGCAAGAAGCAATTCCCATCTATGTGTGGAGTGCAGCAGATAAATAAAGTACTACTCAAAATATTCAATGGAAAACAGTCTTTATAGTGCTCTCTCAATAGATCACAGTAACTTCATGTAATGAACAACTGGCTAAATAAATATAACCACAACATGGCAAAAATAAGAGGCCCTACAGCCTTTACTCTTTACAGCAGGAAGCTCATTAACGTTGTCTCAGGATATTATTTCCTTCTGATCAGGTTCCCTTATGTCACACAAAGGATTCATGATCATAGTGCAAATGCAAAATTAAGGCACAAGATCAGAGCACGGCCACTGTGAGGGTGCAAATGACTTAACCTGGTATATTCTTCACAGAACATGACTTGATTCATATCAGCTTTCTTTAGCTGTTCGTTTGGCTTTATAGAAATCAATGGGAGGAAAAATGAAAATGCTTTGCTCTGCTGTAATGAAATGCTCTCACATAAGCACATAGTCAGTATGAACTGAGCCCTAGTGCGTTACGGCAAGTAGAGGCATCAACATCATCTGAATCAAATACAACATAAACGCACACATACACACACATCGTCTAAGCTACGTATCCTTCTGGGTCACAGGGGGAACTGGAGCCTATCTCAGCGGTCATTGGGCTGAAGGCAGGATATTTAAAATACAGTACTGCACAAATCTTCATGTTGTTGTTCAAGTATGTTCAAGTTGTTGGATGATGATTCTTCCTCAGAGACTATAAAACGTAAAATATTCAGCATTAACGCTCAGGGACTCATAAAGAGGATTAAGCTGTATAACTTTATTACTTGTTAATATGGTAAAAGTATGACAAATACTCACTTATCATCACAGGTTTTTCCTGACACAGACTGGATGCCTAAAGGTAAATGTAAGATACAAAATTAACAGCATGAACACTGTAAATGAACTGCTACACATATGAACTGTAAATGAAAATGTGATATAAAGAGCTTCAGAAGGTCAGCAACACTGAACACATCCTCAATAACACATTCATAGTGAATAACAGTCAGTCAGTTTTAAAAATGTTCAGTTTAGTGTTATAGCATGATTATAACGAATAGATCCTGGAGAAAGAATCTACAAAGTTCTAGATTCATTCTGTCCAGCAAGACATCTGCCTTACTGGATGTCCCGTCTTCTTCCACACAAACACTCAAATAACAACGATGACAAGGAGAAGAAGACCACCCACGACTGAGCCAACAGTGACACCCACAGATCCACCTGAAGAGATTAGTGTAAGAGCACAATTACTGACCATATCAGTGATTTTAAAGCTGAAATATACTGTATAGTCCGTGTGATTAAACACTGGTAGCTGACTGATAGTTAGCTTTTAATTCCATTTAGAATCAGATTCTCCTACCTCTCAGGACTCTGCGATCAGTCACAGGCAGCACCATCTCCTCCTCCAGTCCACCATGCTGAACAACACAGCTGTACTGATTCCTGTTCAGCTCCTCAGGTGAGACAGTCAGAACGCTCCTCTTCTGGAAGGTTCCATCCTGGTTGGGTAGCGTCTCTCTGAGCTCCACGTCCTCATGCAGATCCTCTCCATTCTTCTGCCAGGAGATCATCACTGCTTTGGGGAAGAAACCTGTAGCATGACACACCACTGCAGAAGAAGAGTCCTTCTGGAACAGAGACACCTCAGGAGAGACTGGAGAGAGAGAGAGACAGAGAGAGAGAGAGAGAGAGAGAGAGAGAGAGAGAGAGAGGTATATTAAGATGAGAAATGTTCACTTTAGTTTATTAAAATGATGCAATAATGAGCAGAACAATGAAGGTTTCTTTCACTGCAGTGACAGTGTTGTTTGTGCATTCTTTCCAGGGCTGGGATAACTACTGAAAAATTAGTAGTTAGCTTCTTTGTAGCTACTTTCCCAAAATTTGTAGCTGCTACAATTTAGCTACTTTTCCAGAAAAGGTAGTGGCTACTTTTTAGCTATTTTTTGAAAAGTAGTGGCTACTTTTGAAAAGTAGTGGCTACTTTTTAGCCAGTTTTTGAAAAGTAGTGGCTACTTTTTAGCTACTTTTAAAGCGAGACTGTCAGAACGTTTGTGAATCTCCACCTGACACACGAAACAAGCCCAACTGAAAGTGTGAACAAGACACTGCATTTAATGATGAGCCAGAAAGAAACACAACTGAAAAGCTGCAAATATACAAAAAAAATCACAAAAAAGTGGGTTTAAGTGTAAACAACAATCAAACTTCCACAACCAAAGACCTGATATCCAACAAAAATTTAGACTAAAGGCAAAGTTAATCATTCCAGGTTTTTCTTACCAAAAATCAACAAAAATAACCGAATACACTCCAAACAACTTTGTGTGAAGAACTGTCAACTGTTGAAATAAAACTGCTCCAATTTAAACATTTCAGCAAGATATACAGACACGACATTCAGAGTCTTAAAACTTCATTAACATTAAACTTCAGCAACACTTTAGCCTCAAATTCTCATCAGTGACCCTGACTCTGCGCAGTACTGTTAGTAATAGTCTATTATGGTTTTTTCCACTTTAGCTAAGCCAGGGCAACACGGCTCCACAGCAGAACTAGATTTTTAGGTAAAAAAACAATCCTCCTTTGCTGTAAAACAAAGCTCTGCTGATCGTTATAACACACAGTTCTAACACAGTTCTAAGACAGGAGTTAATGTTGAACTGCTAATTCACTCTTTAACCCTGAAGGTTGGTGCACAGACTGCTGGTCACCATAGCAACACAGTCTCGCTGAGCTAGTAGCTCACAAAAAGGCAAAGAGACTAAATACGAACACTGATAATTTGGACATGAATGGACTTTATAATCACTCCAGCTGGTTTCCTGATATGTTTGATCTGCAATGAGAAACTGTCAAACACTAAAACGCTGTGAAGCTGCCAGTTCCTCTTTTGCCAGCTTCTTTCCTGTTCCACCTTAAATGGCGCAGCAGTACAATCTGGCACCTCAGGCACCATTTAGGTTGCAACGGGACAATTAGAACAAGAAGCTGGTGAATGAGAAGCGACTTCAGCCTCGCAAAAAATGTAATGTTGAGAGACATTTTACAAGAAACCTTTTCAGAAAAGTTTCCTGAGATGCGAAAAAAGTGGCTACAGTTGAGCTAAAGGTTAAAGCAGAGCAAAGTAAGTCTGCGTTTGTGTTTATATTATATTTTTAGCCTGAAATAGCTCATTAGCACATACTGAGACATAATTACAGCCAAGATGGTAAATATAACATGGTAGTTGCTCCCAAGGTGGTTTCATTTTTGTTGAAAGGATAAAATGGCTCTTGTTAACATTTTGGTTGTGACCCCTGAGCTAATCCTGCTTGTAAGGGGTGATCAGCGCATGCCTGTTTTGTGGCACAGTCAGGATTGCAGTCAACACCAGCCCAGTTAACGGCTGCGTTCTGTGGTTCAGATTTTGCGTGTTTTGTCTGAAGTCTGTAGCGAAATTGTAGCGAAAATTATCGCTATAGCTACACAAAAATTGCAGGCATTACAGTTTTTAGCTACATTTCATAAAACTGTAGTGGCTACAGCTATTAGATACAAAAATCTGTAGCTAACTACAAAAAGTAGTGCGCTACTTAGCTCCTCCCCCATCCCTGATTCTTTATTTGAATATGCAAGAGAGTCTACGGTATTCACTATATCAGACTATTTCCTGTATTAATGTAACAGGTTAATTAATTAGTAACAGGTGTATCAAGGCTGACTTCCTTCCTCTGTGTAAATTCTAGGCAACATATGATCTGTTGTGGCCTTCTGATGTTTCAATATGGCTTTAATTTAATGTAGAAATGGAGTCGCTGTCAGTGTGCACACCTCCGTTGAAACAATGGTTTCAAATTTGTGGAAGCTGGGTGATGCAAGACGTTGTGTCCGGTGTGTGACGACCTTAAGTGTGCAGTGGATGGAAGTTTCTCCTCCATGTTCTGGTGAGTAATCAGTGAGTAAATGATCAGCAGGTTTTCAGTGATGAGGGTGAAACAGTGAGACTGAACAGTTACAGTAACAGATCAGATCACTGTACCTTTCCTCTCCAGACTGGATCTGCTGTAACCCACATACTTCTGTAACCATGCAGTGCATTCATTCTGCAGGTAGGCTTCAACATGAAGAGCTTCATCTTCACTCTCCCACCTCCTTTTGGTAATAACAGCTATAGCATTAGTGGCAGTCCAGGTTTCAGTGTTCAGATCAAAGCTGATGTAGTCTTTTCCATCATAACCGTACAGCCAGAATCCTCTAATAGTACCATCTTCATCCAGCTCACAGCCGTATATCTGCTGCAGTGTGTGAACTCCTGCAGACACACACGCACATATACACACACTCATCAACTACAAAATGCAAAAAATACAATCACAAAAACTCTCAGGCCCTCTCAGTACATATTACAGTGACGGCTGTATCAATACATAAATTTGATTTTATACATTTAAAACTTGAGTGAAGTCATTTTATATTATCCAACATGTGGATATTTATATAGCAATTTGTATAAAAAGCCATGTTGGACAACATTTTTACACTGGTTCCTTTCTGTACATGACATGTTTAGGAGAAACCAAACTTGGAGTGAAGTTAAATTGTTAGTTTATCATCTGTTGTTGATTGAATGAAGTTAGTATCATTTGTAACTGCTGTCAAGGCCAGTATCTTTGTTAGCTGCGTATTCAAGATACAACCCCATTTCCAAAACATTTGGGATACAAAATGTAAATAAAAAACAAAATGCAATGATGTGCAAATCATGTTTTCCCTATATTTCACTGAAAATAGTACAAAGACAACATATCAAATGTTGAAACTGAGAAATTATATTGTTTTTTGAAAAATATTTGCCCATTTTGAATTTGATGCCCACAACACGTTCCAAAAAAGTTGGAACGGGGGCAACAAAAGGCTGGTAAAGTTGTGTAACGCTAAAAAAAAATCTGGTTGTTGATTGACAACAGGTCAGTTACGTGACTGAGTCCAAAAGAGCATCTCACTGCATTAAAAACAGACATGATTCTGTAGTGGAAATCACTGTAGAAGCTCAGAAACACTTCTGAAAACCACTGTCTGTGAAAACAGTTCATCACTGCATCCACAAATGCAAGTTAAAACTCTAAAATGCAAAGAAGAAATCATATATAAACAGGATCTCAAAACTCCACCGCCTTCTCTGGGCAGGAGCTCATTTAGAATGGACTGAGGTGAAGTGGAAAAGTGTCCTGTGGTCCAACAAAATTAAAATTTGAAATTGTTTTTGGAAATCATGGACACTGCATCCTCCAGGCTAAAGACCAGTCAGCTTGTTATCAGTGCACAGTTGAAAAGCCAGTATTTATGATGGTATAGGGGGGCATTGCTGCACATGGCATGGGTGACGTGCTCATCTGTGAAGGCACCATTAATGCTGAATGATATATACATGTTTCATGCGGCCACTCAGACAACGTCTTTTTCAGAGAAAGCCTTGATTATTTCAGCAAGACAGAGTCAAACCACATTCTGCATGTAATATAACAGCATTGCTCCATAGTAAAAGAGTCCGGGCACTAAACTGGCCTGCCTGGAGTCCAGACCTGTCACCCTGAAAACATTTTGTGCATAATGAAATGAAAAATATGATAAAGGAGACCCGAAACAGTTGATCAGCTGAAATCCTGTATGAAACAAAAGCAGGAAAACATATCACTTTCAAAACTCCAGCAGTGTCTCTTCAGCTCCCAAACACTTACAGAGTGTTGTTAAAGAAGAGGTGATGAAACGCAGTGGTAAACAGGCCCCCGTCCCAACTATTTTTGGAACATGTTGTTGGCATCAAATTCAAAATGTGCATATAATTTTCAAAAAACAGTAAAATTTCTCAGTTTCAACATTTGATTTGTTGTCTTTGTAGTATTTTTCTTTAAAAACATGGTAAACATGATTTGCACATCATTGCATCTTATTTCATTTACATTCTGCACAGCGTCCCAACTTTTTTGGAAATGGTTTCACTTTCACAGACATGATTTAGTTTACTGTTGTAGTGAGTTTTAAGTTTGTAGCCTGTTGTGATTAGAAATTAGAGCTGTTTCATGTTGTGGAGCTGTTAAAACTAAACAGACGATGTTACTGAGCTGAATGTGATCTGTGGCACACATTAGTGTTAGTTATTTTATTGTTCACTTTTTTTAATTTACAGCCACAGCGTCTCTCACACTCACATATGCAGCCAAATACTGTCTGCTGCCTCACAGGCTACTGCATCTGTAATTAAAACTACAGAAAGTTCACTCTTCTGCTTATCTGTGCTCTGACCACATCCTTGGCTCTAACTTACCTTTAAAATTTTAACCAACCATCAAAACCAAAAACATCATTATCATTCTCCCTAATTTTATATATTTCCTTGTTTGTTTGTTTATACTATTGTTTTTAGAAAAAAAAGGTAAACTTTGACCAAAAATGTCTGTTGTACATCTGGTGTGTTTTGTCACTGTATTGTGACACTTGTGATATTTATCGTGTCATGGAGTTGAGGACAATTTCATTAATATTTAGTTCAGTTCAGTGCATGTCTCACATAAAAATGTTCTGTGTTATCAGCTACATTAGTATATTAGCTCTTTACTCTCATCACTGTTGCTCAATCTCATGATCCCTGTTGCATTACAGAGGAATAGCCAATCAAAAGGGTCAAAAGAGGTTATTTTGTAAGCGTTCCTAGCTGCAGGTAGCTCACAGCAAGCAACAAAAATAGACTAGAAGCTTTGAGTGTAATGAGTGCACTTCTCTTCAGTTGTAGTTTGCGTGACCCTTAATGATAACTGCACTTTTTTTCTTTTTGCTATAACAGCCTCAAAATTAGTACATCAATACTCAAAATTAGTACACCACACAATTCAGTAACACTCTGTGCTGTTCTACGCACTCTTTCAACTACATCACTTCAACACACTCTACACTTGTTCTACACACTCCTTCAATCATCAGTAGACAAACCTTCAGTCTGGTTGAAGAGCTTCATTAGAGTCGTCACGTCACGTCTGAACTTGTGCTGATGATCCTGACTGGTCTGTGTCTCTTCATTCCAGTAATCTTTCCCCTCATTCTTCTCAATCCACTCTGTCTTTGGGATCTTCTTTGTGATCTTACTGTCATAGTAAACAAACTGCTCTCCATCCACCAGACCCACTGAAATGAACTCTGGGAAATGTAGTCCTGGTGTGATTGTTATATAAAGGTACTGCAGAGAGTGTGAGTCTGTAAAGATAAAAAGAAGTATTGACGTCACTGCACAGTCAGTTTCATTGTTTACTGTAATTATATGTATACACATGTATATAGTGCAACAAAATGCATTCTGTCTGTTTTAAGGAAGATGTTGATGTACACAGTACCACAGTTACATAAAGAGGTTTCAGTGTGAAATTACAGTAAAAAGTGGTCGTCCAGAGTATAAAAAAGTTCTCCTGAATTTTTCCGCTACAGCAGTTTCTAGTAGCAAAACAGATACTGCAGCAGTTTACAGTGTGCACTGTCTAGACATTTTCAATAGTCAGTGTATTCTACAGAACCTCATTTCCTCCAGGTTGATGTAGAGGAGTTTTTATTTTCTCAGTTTCTGGCAGCAATATGTTACGTTATATATGTTATAAGTTTGGCTATTTCAAAATAAGGATTTATTTTCTCAAAATATTTACTATCTCAAAATAATTTGTTATTTTCACAAAACATTGACTTAGTGTCACAAAATAATCACATTTTCCCAAAATGTTTGAGTAGCATCCCAAACAAATGCTTATTCCTTAAAAATTTCACTTAGTAACCAAAATAATGACTTTTTTCAAATTTGGACTTTAACCTTTCAAGAAAGTTATCAAAAATTTGCAATAGTTTGTTGATGCTTTTCATTTATATAACAATATAATGAAAGTATATTATGAGGATTGAAAGAACTGAAGATGTCACCAAAGCTGGAAGTCAGCAAAGATGCCTGAAAGGCAGCACACTGTAAACCTCATGATTGCCTAAAATGTCAAAACTCAAATCTTTACACCATCAATAATCCTATCTATCTATCAATTTGTCTGTCTGTATATCAATTTCTCTTTCTGTCTATCCATCCATCCATCCATCCATCTATCCATTTGTCTATCTATCTATCTATCTATCTATCTATCTATCTATCTATCTACCTATCTATCTATCTATCATTTGTCAATCTGTCTATCTATGCATCTATCTATCTATCTATCTATCTATCTATCTATCTATCTTGCTATCTATCTATCTTGCTATCTAGCTATCTGTCTATCCATTAGTCAATCTATCTATCCATTTGTCTATCTTTCTATCTATCATTTGTCAATCTGTCTATCTATCTATCTATCTATCTATCTATCTATCTTGCTATCTAGCTATCTAGCTATCTTGCTATCTAGCTATCTGTCTATCCATTAGTCAATCTATCTATCCATTTGTCTATCTTTCTATCTATCATTTGTCAATCTGTCTGTCTATCTATCTATCTATCTATCTATCTATCTATCTATCTATCTATCTTGCTATCTAGCTATCTTGCTATCTAGCTATCTGTCTATCCATTAGTCAATCTGTCTATCTATCCATTTGTCTGTCTGTCTATCTATCTATCTATCTATCTATCTATCTATCTAGCTATCTATCTATCGAACTAATGTAACGCTAAGCTACAACTAATAATTTGAATTGCATCACATCTTGAGCTTTGGAGCAAAAACATCGTCAATACAGCTCTGTTTATTCATGAATATTATTCAAATAGACAACATGAGCGGAGCCTATAGGGGAGATATGAGGCAGCGAATGTGTCACTTTCATTTACATAATCAGAGGTTAAAGGGAGACCATCTTATTTTAAAGCAATTCAACTCAATCCCATTTCAGTGTATATATAAGAAGGTTTGTGAGTAATATGTGCATAAGAAATATTAAATATTATTTAATTACACAGTAAACTACAGGATTAAGCATCGTCATCAAACTTCACTCGATAGTTTATCAACTGTACTGAGTGCATGACGGCACAAAGCAGCAGATTGAATCATTTTTAACTGAGATCGGACTCACCTGATGATGCCAGATGAATGTTGACCATTACAAACAGCCAACCGATGAATTTATTCATGTTTAACCAGTGTAGACGAACGCCTTTTTGTTTTTAGCGTGATATATTCATTTTTCTTTCAGGCAACACTAAAATGAGCAAGCGGAAGTGACTTTGGTTTAAACCAAAACAAAACCCAGTCCTTCCTGTGAGGCGACAGCGTTACCCACTGCGTCACCATGTGTTATCTTATTTACACTTAGAAATCCACAACACATGGAATTTGACTGAGGAGCACATTTTTGTCTATGTGCAAACGTTTAATTAAAGAGAAGATAAAGAACAACACACAGTATGAGTTTGTAATTCTACACAGTGCTGCTTATACAAATCTCATACTCACATCTGTCCTCACTGTATCACTGTTTCTATCTATCCATTTGTCTATCATCATCTGCTGGACAGATGGAGCTCAGACTTTCTATTTACTTTAACACTCACTTCTCCTAAACATTCACTTTACTGTACAGCTTAGTGTACAACACAGTTGTACACCACAGACATCTTTTGATCAGTGCTACAAAGTCTTGAAGTCTTATTTGTAATATGAAGTCTTTTTCTAATATTCTGAACACTTCAGAACACTTTTATGATCACAATTCTAAATATGAAATATTAATATCATTGTAGAATTACTCAATAAACTGCATAAGTAAGCATCGTCATCAAATATCACACAGTGTAATTTCACATACAGCTTCTTCAGAATCTGCACAAGATAGCAGCTCAGATCATTTCTAACTGAGATCAGACTCACCTGATGATGTCAGATGAACATTAGCCACCAGAAATAGCCAACACCAGAAACAGCCCCCAGAAGTATTTATCCATGTTTAGTGCGGACCTACACCTTGTTCTTTAATCATGATATATTTATTGTTTAGTCAGGCAGTTCTTTTTTGCATACCGAGAACTCTGTAGCAATTGAGGAAGTGACTAAGGCAGATTATTCTCTCTTCCGCTTTTGAGACATTAATACACGGGGCTGCTGGAGTCTAACCCAGCACTCATTGGGCAGGAAACGATTATAATCTCCAGTTGGCCTGGACACAGTCCAACAGAACACACAGGACATGCAAACTTCACATACCAGACCCTGGTTAGTCACCCGGGAATTGAACCTTCCTGCTGTGAGGCAACAGCGCTACCCACTGCACCACCATACTGAGTTTAGACACCCTTGACTTTGTTGATTTTCTAGGTTAAAAGAAGTTCAAAGAGCACGAATGTAATTATGCAATTTTTCTGCTACTTTTAGTGCACAATGTCTATTTATTTCTTTAACAAGTTGTAAAAAAAAAGAACCAAAATATTAAATGTGCCAAAACATTTGGACAGTCTATGGTTTATGTTTTTTTCTCTCATTATGTTAAATTCACTAAATGAACAGTAACTGTGTATGAAAATGTGCAAAGGTTTTGTTTGTTTGTTTGTTTTTTGTCTGTGGATGAAGTGTTAATTTATTTATAGTTAGAAAACACATTGAATTTGACAGGGGGTGCTATTTCCTGCAGAGTTAAAAGATAAGTCATTTTCCTTAACATGGAAACCCTGCAGGTCTCCACCCCTATGTTTTTTTGAACAGGCCTCCATCTTTAGAGAAACTCCTCCAACTACATTTAGCATTACGTTTAGCATCACGTGTCACTAAGATCAAGTGAACTGAGAGTAGATCAGTGCAGCTGGTTTCCCCTAAACCCCATCTTTCATGTAGTTCAAGTGCTGCTGCAACCTGCAATCTGGAAAATGTATAAATACATTTACAAATATACAAATATAGATACATACACAAACATATGTGAACAGATATGTGAACCTGAACTGCCACTATATATAAATACCACATCACTTATAACTATACAGTATGTGGGTGTATACATATGTATGTATGTATATATATATATATATTGGCAGGTGTAGTGTTGCACATCTTGGTCTGAACATTTTCCAACCGCAAAACTGACCTTCAGCTTTTCTCACCTGTGTGCTGCATCAAAACCACACTGTAGCCTGAACACCTCTCATGTTCCCCTAGCAGAGACGAACATCAAGCAGCAGCTCAACATCAAAGCTTTCCTAAGAAAAAACTTATGAAGGGTCATAAGACAAATGTTAAGAAGAAAGTTACTAAGACTAACACTAAGAAGAAAGTTACTAACTGCAGCTTTCAGAATAAACTTTTCCACTCTTCTCCACAGAAAGTCTTTTGTTGTGTTCTTGGTCTTATTTGTTATGTAGTCTATTGATACCATGTTCCCTTTTACAGTGTACAAATGATGCAAGATACCCTTTGAATTTGAATGCAGTCTCAACACTGAACTGAAAGAGTTTACACACTTTTTCACCTGCTGAAAATCCTATTTCACTTTGTTCTGTTTTAGGTTATTCAAGTATAAAGTGACTGTGCCTGAACATTTCAAGAGGTTGTGTTTACTTGTTTTGCTGTCATAAATCAACAAAAATATGCAATTTTACAAGGGGTACCCAAACTTTTGTATGTGTCTAAGCACATGTTGAGTTAACCTTCAGTTTTTTTTTCTTGAATCAAAACTATACATAGCCTGTTTTTATCTGAAACTGTTTTCTATTTGTTTCCACAGTCAGTGGAACTTTCCATACTGTTTAAATAGGATTAACATATTTGAAAACTGTCATCACGTAATTCACCAACACCGACTGTATTTTTCTCATTTTAAAGCCTCCAAAAAATACCTTAACAAAAACGTCTACATTCTGACAGAGCAGTCTGTACTTTTTTCTAGAGATTCATGTTTTTCTTTTTCTTTTAAAGGACTTTACCTTGAATCTGCATGCAGTCAGTTATTTCCAACGCCACAGTGTCCAGTAGAGTGACCATTCCTGACTGCTTGCACATCACGGTCAATAGAGGTTTAATATGTGTAGCAAATACTGACACACTCATCAGGGTTTACAGCATTTGTGTGTGTGTGTGTGTGTGTGTGTGTGAGTGTGTGTGTGTGTGTGTGTGTATATCCCCATTTCCAGTGGTATGATATGCAAATCATGTAAACCATATTTCTAAAAGGAAATACTACAAATGCAGCATATCAAATGTTAAAAAATATATGTCTATACTGAATTTGATGCCAACAACACGTTCCAAAAGTGTTGGGACGGGGGCCTGTTTACCACTGTGTTTCATCACCTCTTCTTTTAACAACACTCTGTAAGGGTTTGGGAACTGAGGAGACACTGCTGTAGTTTTGAAAGTAAAATGTTTTCCATTCTTGTTTGATACAGGATTTCAGCTGATCAACAGTTCGGGGTCTACTTTGTTGTATTTTTCATTTCATAATGCGCAAAGTGTTATCAGTGGTGACAGATCTGGACTGTAGGCAGGTCAGTTTAGCACCCGGACTCTTTTAATACAGAGCCATGCTGTTGTAATACATGCAGAATGTGGTTTTACATTGTCTTTCTGAAATAATCAAGGTCTTCCCTGAAAAAGACGTCGCCTAGATGGCAAGATATGTTGCCCAAACATGTATTGTTCAGCATTAATGGCGCCTTCATAGATGTGCAAGTCACTCACACCATGTACACTAATTCTCCTCTATACCATCATGAATACTGGCTTTTGAACTGTGCACTGATAACAAGCTGACTGGTCTTAAGCCCGGAGGACACAGTGTCCATGATTTCCAAAAAGAATTTCAAATGTTGATTCATCAGAACACAGGACACTTTTCCACTTCCCCTCAGTCCATTTTAAATGAGCTCAGGCCCAGAGAAGGTGGCAGTGTTTCTGGATCCTGTTTATATTTGGTTTCTTCTTTGCATTTTAGAGTTTTAACTTGTATTTGTGCAGTGATGAACTGTTTTCACAGACAGTGGTTTTCAGAAGTGTTTCTGAGCTCATGCAGTGATTTCCACTACAGAATCATGTCTGTTTTTTATGCAGTGCCGTCTGAGGGCCCAAAGATCACAGCAAGCAAATACTGGTTTTTGGTCTTGTCGCTTACATACAGAGATTTCTCCAGATTCTCTGACTCTTTTAATGATATTTTGTACCGTAGACAATGAAAAGCAAGTTCTTTGCTATTTTTAGAAAAGTTCTTGAATTGTTGCACTATTTGATCAGTCTTTCACAGAGTGGTGAACCCCTCCTCATCTTTACTTCTGAAAGACTCCGCCTCTCTGAGATGCTTTTTTATACCCAATCAATACGGACCTGTTGCCAATTAACCACCAGGTGTTTTTTAGCAGTACACAACTTTACCAGCCCTTTGTCGTCAACTGAGTTTCTCAGTCTCAGGGTTTAAATAATTTGCACATCATTGCATTTTGTTCTTATGTATATTTTGCACAGCGTCCCAACTTTTTGGAAATGAGGTTGTGTATATTAAGTTTCTCTAGAACGGAGCGTTTCACACCAAACCACTCTGAACGACTCTGTTTACATCTTAACCACTTCATTATGGAGAAATTTCGAAAAATCTGTGGAGTTCTCCTTTAAAGCCTTTCTTCAATGTACAGCCGTGTGTTTTCACTTTAGATGATGATGTCATACAGTACAGGCTCGATGTTGTATCACGTCTTAGATTAAAACAGCAGCAGATCACTTGACAGATGATTCACAGACAGCGTGAAGAGGAATTTGATAGATATTTGGACCTAATAGTCAAAGTTACAAACACCTGCTTACACATCCAACATGATCTCTGAGAAAGACGTGTTTCTTTTTTTATTATTTTAAATGCAGATGTGCAAATATGATAAGAAAGAATCAATCAAAAGACACCAACAATGAAATAAAACCAAAATAGAAAAACAAAAACAGACATATCAAAAAACATAATCAACAATATCATAAGATCTATTTAATTTCAGTGTTTTAACAGCTTTCTTACTGTTAGGGATCCAGTCAATGTTTTCAGTTCAAATACTGTCTGTCATCATTCACAAATAAGGTCTTTAGATTTGAATATTTACATTTATGAATATGGAATTTAGTTATCAATAACATAAGATTGCATTGTATAGATTGTATAGTATTTATCTGCCTTGTTATGGGAGATCTTTGTAAAATCAAACAAATCAAAACAAAGAGAAAAGTTACTGTCAACTTTCTGTATAATAAAAGAACAGATATCTTCCTATATGGAAAAAATATGGACATATATTTTTATATATTTGAAATATATGTCAAATACACTGCAGTACTGAAATACTGAAATACATTCTGAACACGAACATGTATTTCAGAATATTTAGCCATATTAACCAAATATATTTTAACATACGTTTATGGGGAAATATTACACATAGAAATGCAGCAGATGAGCGTAAATGTGTGAAAATCCACTGAAAATGTATGAGAACCAAAATCCTGTCTGATGCTCTTCACTGTCTGATCCCTTTAGAAATAAATCTGTGTTCCAGTCTCTTCATTTTAAATCTGATCAGATGATCCTTTAACAGGACAGAAGCGAGTGATGTAGGTATTGATACTCTGTGAAATGCAGTTATGATCTGGTATCTTGTTTATGTGAAATACATTGTGTGTGAGAGTCTCACTGCAGATGTACATGGTTACTGTAAAGTACAGTGCAGATCACAGAAGTCAGTACGTTTAGTTACATCTGTAACCTTCATTACACACAACTGAACACATATAATAATAAATATAACTGAGAGCTTTTTAAAAATAGACTTAACAAACACTTTTTTGGCCATTTTGAATGTATCTTGAATATATCTTTTCTCCATATGGGTGGGACTCCCCCAGTCACATGATACCAAAGAGGACAAAGGCAAACACAAGCTTCCTCTGAGTCACGTGAAACGTCATTGGGCAGCTAAACGCGCTCGGAGGGGAACACGAACCTCCAGTTCTGTTACGCCAGCTAACAGACGTCTGTGCTGGTCAGTATTCAGAGGAGTACAGAGGACTGAAAATCCCTACTCAAGTACAAGTACTGTTACTGTAGTGCGGATGTGGTTCCTGCATTCCAGCTTCAACTCCACATACGCACAGTCCATCTCTACCTCCCTCTGCAAGCGCCTGTTCCTCAAGAGTTGAATCTGGAACGCAGGAACCACATACGCACAGTCCATCTCTACCTCCCTCTGCAAGCACCTGTTCCTCAAGAGTTGAATCTGGAACGCAGGAAATTCTTCTGCTACAATTCTGATGTCAAGCTTGTATAGAATAGCAGAACCCTTTTTGGTGCTATACAGGTACAACATGTTCTCCATTAATCTGAAGAACCTTTTCAACATCCAAAGAACCATTTAAGGATGAAGTCGTTCTTCAGATAAATGGAGAACATGTTAGGTTCTTTTAAGAAAAATGTAAGTGGTTCTACGTAGCACCAGAAAGGGTTCTGCAATTGTATATACAACTTTGACATCGTAACAGTAGCAGAATGCTTTTTGATGCTGTATAGAACCATATTCAACACATTCTCCATCAACCTGAAGAACCATTTTACCATCTAAAGAACCCTTTAATAACGGTTCTATATAAGATTCATAGTTCTAAATAGAACCATTTCCTCTATAAACTGTTCTTTCAGTTTGTTCCCACACTGATAAAAAGCCACCACAGTATTGTACTGAAGTACATGTACTTAAAGGTATCTAGTTCCTTCACTCCTCTGATCATGTGATCGGTCAGCGTTTTCCTGATAGACGATCTGGAGTTTGATTTTGTTGTTAAATATTCTACATAATTCATTTCTTCATGTTTTCCAGCCTCTCTTTACTCCTTACAGTCAAACAGGCTGCTTTTGTTACAGTGCCTTTAATACTGATATATATGTAAATAAGCTCTGTTGTGATTGGCTGTCCTGTATTGTGCATCGTTCAAAAACCAACTCAATTCAGTTTTGAATGGGCGGGGCTAAACTGCTGTAGGCTGAATAGGTGGATACATACATGAATGGGCTGCAGCTTGTTGTCCATGTTTGGACTGTATGGACTGCTGGACGTCTGAAACTGCAGCAGTGTTTCTAAACAACATCAAACTCATTTATTTTTCAAAAGTGAGGAAAAAGCTTTTCTGTGATCTGGAGCCTTTAAATAAACCACACCTCTAATAAAGCCTGTATTCTCTCAGCAGGGTGTTCAATAACACATCTGAACAACGGATCATAGGAACAATAAAGAACAAAGAGGCTGAAGATATTTTAATATTTTATTATTTTGTTTTTGTTCATGTTTGTGTGTGTGTGTGTTTGTGTTTGTGTGTGTGTGTGTTTGTGTGTGTTTGTCATTTTTTGTCTTTTGTGTGTTTGTGCATGTCAATTTGTGTAAGTGATTTCATTTTATATGTGTGTGTGTTTGTGTGGTTGTGTGTATAATTTGTGTGTGTGTGTGTTTCTCTGTGTGATTTCTTTGTTTTAAATGTGGGTTATTCTGTGTGTATGAGGATCACTTCTTTTTCTGTGTGTGTCATTTTGTGTGTGTGTGTGTGTGTGTGATGTCTATGGGTGGCCGTTTAAGGTGAAATACACTGAAACATTCACACGCCACTGAAACACTCGCACACACCACTGACACACTCGCACACACCACTGAAACACTCGCACACACCACTGAAACACTCGCACACACCACTGAAACACTCGCACACACCACTGACACACTCAGACACACCACTGAAACACTCACACACACCACTGACACACTCACACACACCACTGACACACTCAGACACACCACTGACACACTCACACACACCACTGACACACTCACACACACCACTGAAACATTCACACACACCACTGAAACACTCGCACACACCACTGAAACACTCGCACACACCACTGACACACTCACACACACCACTGAAACACTCACACACACCACTGACACACTCACACACACCACTGAAACACTCGCACACACCAC